CATTCAAGATTAAAGCAATTTGACAACATATCTTCAAGACCCTTACGGGTGACACTCACCACATGTAGATCAAGCTTCTTCAGGTCGGGGAAACCGCAGATTTGGGAAGATGATTCAAAAGACAAAGCTAAGCTGTAGGTGTTGTAGACGAGATATGCTTTCGCCATCAAACAGCTCAATGGGAAATCTGTACCTATCAGCACGGAGCCCCCACCTGGCCGGGAGCAAGTCAAGAGCTAGATTCTTTGCTCGTGAGGATAAGGCAAAATTAGCCCAACAATCGAGATGTTCAGCTAGCGTGGCGTCAAATTCAAACTTGACCCCAAACTCTTCCCACCGCTACCAGATTCAGGAGCTTTGCCGAGTGCCAGGGGCACTCGGCGAAGCCACAAAAACACTCGACAAATGATTTGTCAAGTGTTACACTCGACAAACGACGCTCGGTAAACTGGTTATCGGCAAACGCTAGTTTGCTGAGTTTTTTTGTCGGACACTCGACAAATTTGTCGAGTGCCCAAAATACACTCGGCAAATATTTTTTTCGAAAAATAAAAAAAAAAGTCATCACAAACATTTTTTCAAAAAAAAAAGCCACCACCGGCCGGTCTCCGCCGGCCGCCGTCGGTCTCCTCGGCGGCGCCCTTCCCCTGCGTCTCGCCTCCGCTCCCCGGCTTCACGGCCGCCGCCACGAGCCACCACCACCACGCCACCTCCGCCCACCACCACCACGCCACCACCCACCACGCCGGGGAAGAGAGGGAGAGGAGGGGGCGGCCGCGCTGGATCCACCGCCGGGGAAGAAGAGAGGGAGAGAGGAGGGCGGCCACCAGATCCGCCGGCCGGGAAGAGAGGGAGAGGAGGGGAGGGCGCCATGTGGGAAGAGAGGGAGAGGAGGGGCCGGCTGCAGATCCGCCGCCGGGGAAGAGAGGGAGAGGAGGGGGAGGGGCGCCGGCGGTGGGAAGAGAGGGAGAGGAGGGGAGGGGGGCCGGGTGCCGGGGAAGAAAAGGGAGGGGTGCTAGGGGCCAGGTGCGTGCGGAGGAAGGAGAGTAGGGCGCTGGCTATTGAAGATATTTTTTGTTTGCCGAGTGTCTCAGATCGGGCGCTCGGCAAAGTTTTTTTTATTTTTTTTTTCTTCTCATTCTTTTTAAAAAAATATTTTATTACTTTGCCGAGTGTTCTAGATCTGAGCACTCGGCAAAGTGTTTTTTTTCTTCTCCTTCTTTTTCAGGAAAAATATTTTATTTCTTTGCCGAGTGTTTTTTTTTACACTCGGCAAACCTCATCTTTGCCGAGTGTTTTTTTTGACACTCGGCAAACCCCTTATTTGCCGAGTGTTTTTTTTTTTGCCGAGTGTTTTTATCGCAGCACTCGGCAAAGAACTTGTTCGTCGAGTGCCTGAGGGAATACACTCGGCAAACATAAAAACACTCGGCAAATTTAAGGATTCCGGTAGTGCACCTTGCCGTGATATTGTTTCAAGATTCCATTGACATTGTCAATGGCACCGTTCGCTGGTCTGATTTTTTTAGACCAGTCGGCTGGTTTCTCTCACAAATCACTATGCATCTTTCAGCCGCTACAGTATTTCTCTCTCACATAACCAGCCAGTTTCAGCCAAGTTTCAGACCAGCGAACGAGACCAATAAACTTTCGAGTATAGTGTTGTGTTCCAGCCACATCTTGGCCGCACATTGCGGCACCATCAAATCTGAGTTTGGGGCAAACTGTCCAGATATGTTTCCACTCATTTGATAAAACACTAGTTCTTACCATTTCCTTAGGTGGCAATTTTGACAGAATGGTGCCTAGCACATCCTGCAACGAAGGAGAACAGACAATTAATTCCACAGGTTGTTCTAGCACAAACTCGTAAATACATCCATAAACGTAATTCAGTACATACCACAGGCTTCTTATGGCAATGCTTCAGTCTTTTCCTTGTGCACATAAGATGGTCCTCCATTTTGATTCTGAAAGAAACAGTGCCATGTGAAAACATATTGCTGAAATCCTCTAGCATAATAAAACCATGAAAAAAATCTCTTTTTGACAGATCGTGTATACACACGTACACGTATATATAGATGAAGGGGTAAGCCCAAAGCAGCTCGGTGGGGAATACATACAGAAAGGAGAAAGAGAGTTTAGCTGACCTTCCGCTGCAAGAGGCGGCGCTACAGATTCCTCTGGAGACGCGATGTGCAGAAATGAAGATGAAGCGATGAAGCCCCGGCTCGGACAAATATATAGCGAGGTGATCTGGAGTAGGGCCCTAGGACTCCGATTCATAAGAGGAGCGTAGCCGACTATGTATGATTCCGTAGTCTTCCGCTCCCTCCAAAAGAAACACGGATTCGGCCTGATACGCCGGCGATACGGTATCAGGAACGCGGGAAGGTCGCGGACTCGGACTCGTCGGCGACCGGGCGCGGACGGCGGCGGTACGCGCCGGCGGCCGTGGACGGTGGTGGAAGGCGGCAGCGGGCAGGGTCGCGCCCGATACTCCGATTCAACCCTGCGCTTTCCCTGCCCCTGGATGCTGCGCCAGCAGCATCACTGCCGCCGGTAGCTTGGGAGGACGAGGTGGAGGCATTCGGCAGAAGATACGACGAGGTTGGAGAGGATGAAAGTGAAACAGAAGGTTGGAGTGATGGGCCTTTTGGGCCAGGTGGCCTGTTAGTCATTTTGGCTTCACCGGCCTCCACTGCGATTTTTGGGCCAGATTGAGCTTGTTCTGCTCCAGTCGTGATGTGCCATAGGGAGTTAATTCAACTAGAATCAGTTTCTCAAAAAAAAAAAAAGAATCCTTAATAATTTATGATACATTTGATTAAAGTTAAAAAAAAATATTGGAACGTCTACTCACGAAGACATAGACGACGACAAAGCTTGCAGATTGTTTCTTGGAATTTCATGCTCGCTGTTGGGCTGCACTGCATGGCTGTTTGGACTTTGGACCTAAAGCATAAAGAAAAGAAAAAAGTCTGTTTTTGGCCTTCCAACTATGGCAGCAATTTGGTTTTAGCCCTCCAACTCTAAAACCAAACACTCGTAGTCCCTTAACTCTCAAAACCGTTTAAAATTGGCCATCGCGCCCATTCAACCGCTGTATCCGCACAGTAAACCCGCCACGACTCCGCCTATCAGGCCTTTCCCTCTCACCGCCAGGTTGGGACCACCTGTCATCCCCTCCCTCTCTTCGCAGGGCCCGCCTGTCAGGCCTTTCCCCAACCTTTCCACCACACGTCGTTGCCACCACGGCGGCCAGCACAGGCAGCGCTAGCCATGGCTGCTGCTGCTACTCGCGCCATGGCTCGCTGTTACAGACGCAAATGAGGTCGATTTGTTTTTTCCTTTCTATTTCTACCTTTTATTTTCCTTCAGATATCCTCTGCCCTTTCAAATCAAGAACCCTCTCGATTACTACTCACTCCGTTCAAAATTATAAGAAATTTAACTTTAAAAAAATATAAGATATTTTAACTTTTCTAGATACGTTGTTTTGCTATGCACTTACATATACATTATGTCTAGATATATAGTAAAATTAATATATTAAAAAATCAGAATATCTTATAATTTGAAACTAATAGTGATAGAATTACTATCGCCATGTTCCACAATAATTTGTCTCTAGCCCCGGCAAAACTGAATTTAGATCTGCCACTTAATATTGACCATGTGGCGACAATTATATATGTGTGTGAAATGAGCAGTGCCGTGATAGTTAGATAGACACGATCAGATTGTCTTTAAAAAAAACTTGATGAGACAAGAGGGGGGTCCCCCCTACTGAGAAATGACACGATCTCAGTAGAATTTGACGCGGGCAAGCAACGCTGCTTCAACGCACACATTTGCGTCTGTGATTCGATACTTTTTTTTCTCAAATACTTAAAAAGATTTACGTATTATTGTATTAAAGAGAAAAATTTAAACAAACATACAACGCGGTTCTATCGAGCGACGAAGGAAGTCGACCTAACACAGCCGAAGCTGGACCATCAACGCAAAAGACCTCTTATTTCGATATTACTTAAAAGGAAATAACTAATATTGACGCAGCTTTGTGACCTAGGAGGTGGCCTTACGTCTTCGCGGCTGTCTGGACGGGCCCTTTCCAATGGCCGGGAAGACCGCGCCCAGCGCCTCGGCGTTGGACGCAGTCAGGTTGCCGTTGAAGAGCTTGTCAAAGGCCTCCAGCTTCGACGCGGATGGCGCTGGTGGATCTTTGGTGTAGCCTATACGCTCACAACACCTCACTTGGAAGCTAGCACTTTGAGAGAGGCTTAAGCCGCCAACCGCCTGCTCCGCCACGACAACTGTGATTCGATACATGATCCATCAAAGCAAGCCTGCAGTCAGTATCTGTCACGTTCATGCTAGCTCGCTTGCTTGACCTGCCTGTCCTTCACGAGTCATTTAAGATGGGATATCATCTGTCACCTTTGATTTCATCAACTTAAGCAGCCTAGACATTGTACCCGTACATGAATATTATGATATACATACTCGATGTAGTAGTGGCAAGACGAGGTCGCCTTGAAAATACATATACTGCTACGTGTATTAACGCATACGTTAGGAAGCTTTCAAGCAACTACATGCATGTCGACGAAAAGTCAAACAGGATAACCAGACCTGTAGTTAACATTAAATTGGTACTGGCAGGTTACCAACCCAAGTAGCAGCCTCTCTAGTCTCTACTCGAACAAGTCGATTATAAATGTATTTATATAAAATGTCATCTCTCGGCGCACACTATATATAAGGTTGGTTGGAGTTCTTTGGTGCTGCGTATGTACAAACACGGAATGGAATCTCTCTTTTCGCAGAAGTCTTATACATATGCACAATATGGTAGCTAGCTTGCTTGATCCGCAAGACCATACACTACATTACAACTGCAGCAGCAGATGGATCGTAGATTTGGGCCACTGTGGCATGATCATGCCCAGGGTGGGTGGAACACTTTGAACTTGCGCCTGCCTAGAGAAACGTCAGGCCTGGCTCACTCTAGTCGCGATGGCAGAAGCATACTCGGAGATCGTTGGATCAGGTGACTGCCGGAGGTGAACGATGACCGGGAGCAGCTCTGAAGACCGGAGGAAGTTCCTGCAGATGGCGTGGTCACACATCTTGCGCAGGGCGAAGAGCACGATTCTTAGCGGTGATTCAGTGAGAGCATCTCGTCTGCTGGGGCTCAGGGCAACGGTAGAGTAACTGCCGACCATCTTCAGCAGCGCCTGCACAACAAGAAATTGGGATATATAAGAATTATATGTGATGATGCCTTGAAAAAGTTATGCATTTGGCATTAATGTTATCCATCCAATCTTCATAGTACACAAGACAAGCATTTTTTCACAGTTTTTTATTGGCCCACGGTGGGATTAGAAGCCGCTCAATGCAGACAGCAGAGTATGAAAATGAGTAATAATAAGCAAGAACAGACAAACCTGAATTGCGCCTTGGGAGACAATGTCTTCGCAAAGTTTGTCAGAGTTCCTCACTAGATTACTGAGCGCACCTGCAGCGTTGCCTTTGGTTTTATCCTCCTCAGGACCAAGTAGTAAAGTAGTGAGTTGAGGTATGGACCGTCTCAATTCTTCATACAGCATGTCATTATGATAAGCAGCATTGCCAACCTGACAAGGCAAGAATTGAACATGTAGCTTAATCTGAGTGTTGAAACTGGATAGAGAAAAAACAACTCTTTTAAAGGCATTTTACGAGCTTACAGCAAAACATGCGAACTTTCGTGTGCGCTTGTCAGGATCAGAACACCTGTCAACCACGAGCTGGATCACCTTATTTGCTGCCTGTTACCGGACAACAGCAAAGTTAATATTACTGGCATACAATTTCAGTCTGCAAAGCAATTAAAATATACATATTTCCTTACAAGTGGGCCATAAAAGTAGGAGCTATGGCGGCACATGTTGCCAATGGCACTGCAAGCTTTTGCCCTTATATCAGGGTCTCCATTTGATAAGAAGTTCTTCAAAAATCCAACAAGTCCAGCTTTATCAATGGGTACATAAAAGTCCTGTTGGCCACAAGCAAAATGTATCAGTTTGTATATCCAACAAAGTTTTGACATCAGAATACAGTATATTTACTAGGCATACAAGACATCACAGAGATGACGAGAAATGACAAACCTTTGACATGCGAGCAAGGTCAGAAATAATCATGAGGAAATCAAGCAAAGTCTCCTTTGCTATAGGACCCTCCAGTAATGCCGCTACTCTAATTGGATCTAGAAGACCTTCTTTATGAAGCTGCAAAGCAAGTGGCCTGTAGCCTGCCATTTTGGCCACAATTGCCAGGGGCCTACCTAGATCTTCCATGTCGACATAGTCAAGACAGCGCAGCATACATCCAGGAATGCCAACCTGTACGAGGAGAGAGAAATCACAGAAATGTTCATTGAAAAACAAGAAAAAGTAGAGCCAACTAATCAGACCTCTAGTAGAACTTGAATGTACTGAGGCATGTTTTGCTCGATAGTTTTGAGCATTTCCTTATTCTCAGTGCCAATGCGCCCACCAGGTGATGCAACATTAAGCAGGAAGCCACTATTGATGGATGCAGATGCTGACGGCATGTTTGGAGAACTCTGCACTGCAACAAATGGAAATGCCAAGATATCAACAACTGAGTTTATCAGTTCCCGAACTCCCCTCTTCCCACCACCAAGACCCGTCCAGGCTGCCAATGCCTTAAGGTGTGTATCAGACAATAAGTCAGTTAAGAGCTTTAACTGTTCCCTTCTATACAAAATTTCACGGAAAACTCCACCAGGAAGGCATTGAGATAAAGCAGAAAGAGTCCAGATAACTCCCAATGGAGACAACCCACTGCGGTTCGTTGAACTATCTTTCCCGTCAGATATCTCTTTTGAGAAACCATCAGTAAGCAAGCGAATTAGAAGCTGTGGGATGCCAACTGAGCAGGCTTGTTCAATGGCCAATGGTCCGCCCCATTTCAACCTTGTCTCTAGCAGTCCAATACTTCCATCGCGGAGTCCAAAAAGATTCAGAAGACCAGCATTATATCGACAGAGTGCTTCGCTTCCATCAGATAACCAAAGCTTCAGCAGAGTGTGCAGTGTTGCCATACGAGGAAATAAAGCAAGGGCGGTTTCACAAAGAGAAGACCTGGTTTGTCCACCATTTTCAAGAGAAACAAGTGATGAGAGCCCAAGCATTGCTGATGCACAGTGTGGCTGCAGGCAACTCTTCACTGTATCATCAACTGATGAAAGGTGTGCAAGAACTGAGAGACGGGACCGCTGTTTTTTCTGGGAACTTGTTAGGATAACTGATGCTGAAGACTCTCCCTCTGATTTCAAACATGCAGCTATTGTCGCTAATGCAAGGCAGCAGTGCACTACAAGAGCATGAGGGTTGGATAGTTTGCATTTCTGATTGCTATTCTGCTTGGATTCCTTATTTAAATATGATCCACACAGTGACAATAAGGAAAACATATCAGAGACTATTGTTCCATCTCCACCATATTCTACTGCATCAACATCAGATGGTGAATTCCATGGACGACACATAATGGCACAGAAAGACACATTCTGCAGACAGGCCCTTGAGATAAGCTGAAAAGCAACATGTAGATGTAATAAGAATCAATACAATAGAAAGATGTAAAAGTAAGTAAAAAAAACTGCTATATTATTTTATTGCACTTGAAAATGGATTTAGACGCCATCTTATCTATCCAAAGAAATTCTGAAATGAGATTTTTTACAATGTTGCTGCTGAAAGTGCAACTAACCAGAAGAGCCATGCCATGTAACACTGGGAGGTTAAGGCTGAGATAGTATTGATCAAGGCCAGGATTCTGATTCCAAGGTGGCAAGGAGTAACTTCAGCAAGTTCCATGTGCTACCCCACGTAAAATTGTTGATAACATATTTAGTTTAATACATATCCAACTATCAATGCAACAAATTGCAGTTCCAAGATACAAAAATAAAATAAAGATTTTTCCTAATAGTTATTGGTGCAAAAGGATGTTGAGATAACACCATAAAATCTACAGTTTAGTTTTAGAAGAACACACGATGATACTTAAACCATGCCAGGACAAATACTGAATGGATAAACACAACTCTATCTTTTTAACATTTCACTTGGCCTACAAAAATGATACATACTACCATGGGGAAGAAACATGTTGAAAAACTTATGGCTTCTAGTCAAACAGCATCGGAGAATTACCTGAAGACAAGCATGAATAGCTGATTCTAGACCATTATGCAAGCAGTGGTAAACTGCAACCTGCATTGGTCGTGAGGCAAGAAATGATTTGACAAATATGTTAATCAGATTGGTAGAGTTTGAATCTGCCATTGAACCTTGCTCTTGCATTGAGTGTATTTGTCGCCATGAATTAGCTAAGGGAAATGAAAAATGGTGTGCACCAATGGACATAATGTCAACAGCATGAGCTAGGTACCAAATAGCCTTGCATGCCTCACAAGCAGCAGGTACCATGTTTGTAGAACCTGATATTGTGTCTGAACCCGAAGCTATCAGACATTCACACAAGAGTTCAAGTAGTTGTGACGTCCTCGCATGATCAATGATCTTGAGGAGACTTTCTTCCACTGGCTTCGGGTCTTCAGATGACATGCTTGCCTTCAACCCAGAGATGACCCGAGATAACATCAAAGCAAGGCAGGCAGTTGACTCACGAGATATTCTCCCAGATGGATCCACTGTAGAAACCAGGATCTGCATATCAAAACTCATAATCAAGATAAAGGGGAAACATAACTGACAATAAAACCTGAAGTTGGCATCAAAGTGTTACCTGTGAATAAAGCTCATATAGGGATAACCAATGTCTGTCATAAGATTTTAAAATAACTTCATCACTTGTATCAAGTAGTTTCCGTTAAAATTGCCAGGCACTGCCAACAAAAAACATAGTTATACATTGCAAGTTATATCCAAGACATCCCTAATAAAGTAAGAAATAATTTTCTCTTTCCAAAGAAAAGAGACGCTGCTTTCATTTGATTTGCTACTTTACTTGGATGTTGCAATATTTTTTATTGTGAACAAAAAAAAACACAGAATTACTGCCAAAAGTACCTTCACCACAAGTCCATAAGCATTTGAAAGCTTAGTTTTGATAATGAGATTTGTAAACTCAAGAAGCAAGCTTATGTCAATTGCCGCATAAGATTGGCATGACCCGGCATCAATTAAATTTTTAATAATTCTGAGTGACTGATTTGCTCCATCAATATTCAATTCCCTGTAAAAGTTGAAGCAAGCATAGGTTGAAGTTAGAGACAAGGCTTGACGAAACCAGAAGAAAAACTTCTGCTGAGTGGACGCTATACAGTTGTGTGGAGCAATGTTCCCATTCACATATTTTTTTGAGCAGAAAATACAGCGGGGGAGGCCCCCACTGTAGATATTATATTAAACAAAAACAAAGACTGTACAAAGAAGCCTCAGAAGAGAGGCAAAAAAAAAACCAAAAAACAAACCCAAGACAAAAAAACTATACTAAGGCATCTATACACAACAGGTATTCTGGGCGCTTTTGCTCACTAAATCTGTGTGCCTGAAGATTAGCCTCTTCAAAGAAGGAACTTTTCCAGGAATCAAAAGACGGACGACCTCTATCAAAGATGAAATTATTTCTTTGCTTCCAGATTTGCCAAGCAGCTATGATGAATATCTCCATAAAGACCATTCACACATTATATCTGTTATCACGCCTTTATACAGCCCAAATGTTTTTTAGATAAGAAATTACTACTGAACTGATGTAAAATTAGTAGAGTGAATACATGATACTATGATAGTGATACAGGGGAAATTCTAGAATTACTCTAGTACCCATGACTACTATACCCTTAACAATACACTAAAGGATATACACCATGCATTGCAACCACGTTAATCTGCAATGACCATTTTTCCTTGATGTTTTCACTTTTCAGAAGATGAGAGCATCTGATCTAAGCAGTTCACAAGGACTGGAAAAGCAATGAATCTACCTGGGTGGACTTGGAGCATTAGTAAGCCAAATTTTGATAGGGCTGAGAATGGTTGACAGTGCTTCATTATCTTCAACAATGCTGTTTGCACCTTCTACTGTTTGTGAGGCTTTTTCCAGTTTATCCAAAGCAGTACACTCTGCAATGAAGTATTCAGAAAGATCACCTACTGTGTACTTTCAGGGAAGAAACCTGACTGTTATGATCAACACCACTGCCCAAATATACTACCAGAAGTCAGAATTTGGATATTAACTTGCCTGCGGGAGAGCAGCTTTCAGGAACAGCACCAGTAGGTGAACCATGATGGTCCTGAGTTACTTGCATAGGGCCATCCAATTTTCTGTTACCTTTGGGTTTATCGGAATCATTATCCCTATTGGTAGTAGCAGTTCTACCTGACAAACATTAAAATCAGTTCAAGATATAGAACTTATGGGAAAATCCCTAAGAAAAAGGATATAAGTTTACTATTTAAATTGCCTACTTTGGGGGGCAGCTGGGGAAGGTTGGTTCCTTGATGTTTGTGTTTCTTCTGCTTTCCTAGTACCTTCAGACCCTCTAGCTTCAAAAGGTGCAGGTCGAGACTCCTGAGTAATTTATGTGGTATTCAAGGCACTGATATCTTCAAAGACTAGGATTCCATAATTTACTTGAGCGCGTAACTAATGATACTTACAGCTGCTGGTCCCATTGAATCATCTTTGACAAATGGGTGCTCCAACAATGCTGGCCAGGTTAATCTACTTTGAGGCACCTATTACATACCACACAGCATTAGAAAAGAAAAGGCACAGATGAACTCATTAGATGGATTTGAGGGGGCAATGCCAGTTATGAGTTTATGACCTTGTTGAGTAAACCCTTCAGGAAGCTCTTAAAGTTTGCGCTCATATTATCTGGATATTTTACAGGATCCTAGCAAATCGATGAAATCATATAAATCAGTTCCGACAATTAAAAAATTCAAGGATAACAAATAAAATAACTAAATAAGCCTGGTAACCTTGACAATGTGCCGGATAAGTGCATAGACCGAATTTGTATAAAAAGGGGGCTGTCCAACAAACAGTTCATACCTGGTCAACCAAACAATAAATTTAGCTTGATAGATAGATTATCAAACACAAAGTAGAGTAGATGGCACCAAGTTGAACCATGTGCCAAAGGCCAGCAGTATATTAAGATTACAACTGCACAAAAGGAATGTGATACAATAGCATCTAGAATGTACTAGTATGAGAAGATTGCAAAAGTAACCAGGTCTAGATAGGAAAGCGAAGATGTACATACAAGATGACACCAAGGGACCATAAATCTGCTGTGTGGTTATACGGCTGTTCCCTCACCAGTTCTGGAGCCATATATAAAGGCGTCCCTGCATAGGAAAAGCAAGCCTAGTGAAATGAAAGTTTGGCAAACAGAGCTCATCACAATATGTCCGTAAGATCAAGCAATATCAATAGAGCATATGCCTCAATGAGCTACAAATATGCAATAAGGACCAGCACAATTCAAAGGAGACAATTCCATATAATGAAATACAGTGTACAGCTACTTGTCTTGGAATGTAGTTTGAGATAAACTGACTGAAAAAAAAAACTCCAAAATTTGAAGAAAACACAGAAAGAGTTTAGATTCATAAATGAACAATGCAACGAAATTATACAGATTTAAGAAAGATGACAAATATAACAAGATGCAAATTAAATGCTTTAATCACATGATCATTAGAGTTTGGTAATTGCTATCACGTTAGTTTAGCGAATCAGAGTATCAGAATGTAGTAGATCTACCAACAGGTAAGATGTGGCTAACAGAAGGCTTTCTATGATCCAGAGATCTGTGATTGATTATGAAATGAAGTATTCAAATTGGCACATACATACTTTACCTACAGGCTACAAGACATGGAAATTATTTGTTAAAATTTCAGCTACCAGTGAAGATGAAAAATAGATACCTTTAATGGAGCGTAATACAACTGTGTTAGCTGACATAGCACGAGCAAACCCGAAGTCACAAAGCTGTAAATAGGCAAGAAACAATGTAAATGGAATTTCAACCATTGTAGCGCAATGGATAAGAATCACAACTTGAAGACATAAACAACAGTGGATAAGTGAACATTAAAGGCAAGAATCAAGGCCGTCGGGATGAAAGCTCATTCTAATAAAATGATTAGCCACATGTAGCCGCCATCATACTATACTATAAGAAACTTAACAGAAAACTGAAACATATCGGATGGAATCGATAAAGTGCATTGAATCATGAAAAATAGGATTGTGTGTACATTATATGCATATACAGTTGCATAGATGTAGCAACTAACAGACAATTCGACAATGGAGATATGTTACCTTCAAGCGTCTACTGTACATTGTACACTAAACAAAAACTTATGAGGACCACCTAATCAAAACTTCAGGATTCATGAATGAAAAAAAAATGACAAGACATTGACAGATTATGCATGCCAACATGGAACAGAGATTACCTTTACAATAGATCCTTTCCCGATAAGGATGTTCTGAGGTTTCATATCCCGGTGAATAATTCTATTGGAATGCAAGTAATACAATGCTTTCACCTGAAATGAAATGTGCTGTAACCATGAAGGGAACTCGGCCAAAACAACTGGACTGCTATGGTGCGGGAAGAACTCAGAAACCAGAGTGAAGCGCATACCAGCTGCTTAGCAATTGCCTGAACTTGTTCTTCTGGAAGGCATTTATCATCCTCGAGCACCTCAAACAGTTCTCCCTGAGACAAGCATTTCCACTGAAGTTAGCCAGCTCCAAACAATTGAAACCAGTCAAAGATGAGAAAGGACAAGGTACTCAAACTGAGTTCTTGTGTACCTGAGCAAACTCTGTGACAACGCAAAACTCCTGAGGGGTTTCAAAGGCATCGATCATTTCAATTATGTTCTCATGTTTGAGTTTCCTTAGGATCTACAGAATTGTGTATGACAGCAAGCAGTGATTATAATGAGATAAGAAACACCATTGCTTAATGCTAATTTGCTATGTACTACAGTTGCAAGCACAGCCGAATTGCTGCGACCACCACACCAGAACTATAGTTTTCGTGGCCACTCCCAATTCTTTGTTTAACAACAAAATACCCAAATCCGAAGTACATGTAGAAGAAAATAGAAATGGTTTACCTCAATCTCCTGCCTAAGGTTGTGTATATCCTTATCGGTCTTCCCGTGCTTAAGAATGAACTTCATGGCGACCGTCTGAATAGGAAGCAAAACAGGAGAAAACAACCTCTATGAAATCCAAATGCACACAAAGGAGTTTATCTAATCATCAGATGGGCCCAAATCCAACGGGTCCAGCACACTGGAGGAGCGGGGCACGCTGACCTGGCGAGTGTACTTGCGCCTGCCCTTGTAAACCTTGCCGAAGGAGCCCTCCCCGACGAGGTCGATGACATGGTAATCCTCTATCCCCATCTCGTGCCCAGCAGGCGCGATAATCTTTGCAAAAATCGAAGTTAGTCGGCAGAAGATGCTTGTAGATAGATCAGATCCGATTACAACTAGCCGTTAGGGTTTGGATGCTCGGTTTCGCACAGCAGGAAGGGGAGAAAAGGCGGCGGGCGTACCTGGTGGGTGCTCGTCGCCGGCGAAAGTCCAGACGAAGGCCCGGGCACCTGGCGTAGGGCGGCGGCGGCGGTCGCCCACTCGGTTTTTTTGAAATTTTGCCCGCTCCTCAGTCGTCGCCACTCGCGGAGAGAGAGAGGCTGAGTGAAACAGAGAGAGACAAGCGAGCACGCGGCGGAGTGAACGGGAGAAGAAAATTTGAACAAAGGTTAATTCTAGTTCAACAAGAACTGGGCTTGGAGTCGAACTAAAGCCCAATAAGGCTTGCCCATTCTAACTGGACAGCCCAGCCCAGACCATCTTTGCAAAGATCACAGGCACCGTGTCCGTGAGTCCCGACCGCAAAATTCAAATTCAAATCAGTTCAAGCTACGAACCATTTCAATGGCGACCTGTTCTTCCCCACCCCTTCCCCCCAAACCCTAGCACCCCCGATCCAGCAGCCGCCCCCTCCATTGCGAGCTCCAAATCCTCTCGGAGATGGCGGCGCCGGCGCCGATGCAGCTCAAGGTGCGGGTCCCACAGAACGAGGAGGTCGCTCGCTGCCTCCACGAGAAGCGGCTGTCGATGAGGGAGCAGCCGGCCGGTTTCAAGGAGCACCTGGACCGCACGTTCGCCAAAGCCTACCGCAATGTCTGCGCCGCCAATGAGCCCATCCGGACTCTCAAGGAGTTCTCTAAGATCAAGTACCAATTCTTTCCTCCTACTTCCCCAACCCTTTCTTTTTTGTCCGTTGCTGAGTGAATGCTGCATTGAGACAGGAGTTTGATTGAATTTTTTTGTGCGGTTATTGTTGGTGGGAATTGAGATTCTCTTATTTGAGCTGTAGTTAGACAGGAACCGGATCTAATAAGCTGTGGTTTCAATAACATTTCAGGATTTCTGTGGTTAGCTTACTTTCATATCTTGGGCTAATATCAGAAATTTGTGTTTGCATTGCTAATCAATTCTGTAGCTTTTGTTAACCTACAAGCCACAATGTGCATTATGATTCTACATACATATATTTGTTATAAACTCCTTTTTTTCGTGAAAGAAATATGGTACGTGCTATTTGGTAATACAGTTCTGGACTTTTTGAATAATTTTGATTTACATAGCTGGATGTTTCTAATATTCTCTCACTGTTTACAGTGGTGTGGGACCATGGCTAATACGTTGTATGAAAGGCTTCTTTCCAGAGTCCAAACAGGATTCTCCAACGAAAGGTAATGTAGCAGGAGAGTATGATAACCGTTTTCATGCTTAACTGGGTGCCGTTTGGAAAGCCTTTCCTGCCTTTTCCTTTAGGCACCAATTTTCTCTTCTGTAGAATATGAAATGGTTTTGTTTATTTTAACAGGAAAGAAAACAAGAGTACCAAAGTGCCCTAAGCCAAAGAAGAACACTGCTGCTCCTGCTTCTTCTCTTGGTAGCATTATGCTTGCTATTTCAATAGTATAATATCCATAAAAAAGCATTATACTTTTTGTTTAATTCCAATACTTCTTTTGAAGGCAAGGGACCTCCTCCTAACTTAAATTGTCAGAATGTTCAGTTTACTCCATTTTCATCCCAAGGAACATTGGACCTGCAATCGTCTGGTAAAACGGTATGTTTTGACTTTTCTATGGATAAACCATGTGCTGCAGTGCTGCACAGTACTGTACCTTTTAGAATTTTCAATCAGAATAAACTGATTTTTTTTGTCCCAGGGTTCTTCTGACTTCAATATGCTAGATAAGGATGTTGTATCAATGGACAATTGTATACTGGCTATGCCACCTCGTCAATCAAGTGAAGAGTTTCTTGAAGCTTACGAGGTTGTTCTGATATTGGATGATCGTGAGAATTTCGGGTTTGTATGACCGTATCCTACTCATATAAGCATTATATTTGTCCAGACACATCAAAATTTTGTTCTCATGATTGTTACATTTTTGCATAGGTATTCCTCAAGAAAAGTTGCTTCAAAAAAGGTTGCTGATAACATTGGTTCGCAGTTTAAAGTACCTGTAGAGGTTAGTTATAAACTGACTCTGATTAAATTTTTCGTGGCCTAAAATCCTACATACTGTTTCCTAAGTTCATAAAATTGTGGGGAACCTTGCAACTTGTATGATTGTAACTTGCTTATAAATATCTTGAACACAAGCCTGTTGGTGATGTACCAAATGTGTTTGTTCTTTTTTAACATATATAAAAAGAAGGGTTATGATGCTTATATTGATCATTTTGTGTTGTGTTCCACAGAAAGTGATTATTATTCTTCTGTTTGAACCTTGTCATCCAGGTTAAACGTTTTCCTGTAGGTGATGGCATTTGGATCGCTCGTCATAAAAAATTTCTGACAGAGTATGTTCTAGATTTCATTGTTGAAAGGAAAAATGTTGCAGATTTAGGTAGCTCAATTAGAGACAATCGATACAAAGATCAGAAAACAAGGCTGCAGGTACTATATGGACTTGCATTGACTACTTGTTATTGTTATAGACCTTGAATGTCATTTCCCTCTTCTCTGTACCTTCATTTTAAATTGTTAAATATTCCATGTCTGTTGTTACTTGTTTCTTGTGATGACCCCATTCGGTAGTTGAGTCTGGAAGCTAATCATTAAAAAAAAACTTTAACTTAAAAAAAAAAACTCAACCTGCGGGGGTAAGCCACCCCCGGGCATTGCTGTAAGAGAGAAGACCATCTCACACAGGCCGAGAAAACCCCCTAACCCCTGCCCCACCTTGACATAGGGGCACCGTTGTCCTGTGAGAACCGGGCCGGGCCTTTGACCTGCGCTTTGGCCGTGGAACAGACGAGAGGATTTTTTTTAACCCCAGCCTGAAATTTGCTCTCATGGGGAGTCGAACTTAGGACTTGAGGAGTGCCGCCGTGGCCACCTAACCAGTTCAGTTAGGCACCCTTTGGCAAAGAACTTTAACTTTTTGTCGCTATTGTTTTTCATTTGCGAGCGATTCACCTATGCAGCAATGAAATTGATGGTTAATATAATGTGTGTGTTTAGCATCATTATCATTGTGGCAAATGTAGTAGTCTGTCAAAGAATTCTGTGTAACTTATTTTGCATGTCACGGTACTATCGTAGGTAATGCTGCTATTAAAAATGGACGTTTTTTTAACTTTTGCTATGGTAGATGATGTGTAGAGAAATGCTGAAAATGAGGAGATGAAAGGGTATTTTGTCCCTTGGAGCAGTGTATTTGGTCTAGCTTTCCTTGTGCTTTCTCTAATACAATGATGTACAACTCTCCTCCAATTCGAGAAAAAGATGATAAAGGGCATGAGAAAACATATGCTTGGTTCTATAGATTGCTCTGTTCCTGGACAAAATGTTTTGTTGTCCTTATTTATTGGAGAAATAATATGATGAGATGCGTTCATTTGTTGTGCCTTGTAGGAATGCGGGTTAAAGAAGCTCATATATCTTGTTGAAGGTGATCCAAACACTTCAAAAGGATCAGCAGCAAGCATCAAAACAGCGTACAAACACTGCTCATTTCACGTGAATTGATAATGTTAAATATTTCATATTACATGAATTATTTAAGAAAGCATATATGTGACCTTTTAGCTGTGCCATGTCGTTTATTTTCAGCTGCTTCACCACTGAGATTTTCGAAGGATTTGATGTTATCCGTACCAGTGGGTATGCTGATACCATGAGAACATATGGTTATCTTACACTCTCAATAATTGATTACTACAGCACGAATTTCCACAGTCTTGCTAAAAGTGCATGTATATGCCCAAGCCCAACCTATGATGAGTTTGAGAGACAGTGTCGTTGCCTTCAGAAGAAAACAGTGAGCCAAATATTTGCACTGCAACTTATGCAGGTTACATGTCAATATAAGCCCTCTTTACAAAAGTTAGCCAGCTGCTTTATGTGATGTCATAGTTGAATATGAGATATTATCCTCATCGAATACACATGCAATGCAATGCAGGTGCCACAAGTAACAGAGAAAGTTGCATTAACTGTTATAGAGTTCTATCCAACTCTTTTCTCACTCGCAAGGGCGTACTCCATGCTTGTCAGTCTTCTCTACTTCTAATTTTCATTTTACTTTTCAAGTTACGACACTTACTCATTATCATAACACTTGTGCATTGACATTTCTGTGAGCTAAAATTTTACCTTTATGATTTTGAAGGAAGGTGATATCCATGCCCAAGAGGAGATGTTGAAGAACAAGAGCAAGATGATAAATGCAGGGGCTAGTAGAAACATCTTCAAGCTTGTCTGGGGTGATGCAGGGCCGAGCCGGCAAAAATCGAGGCCCTGTACCAAACTCTAAAATGAGACCTACATCCCTAAAAAATATGACTGTAAATAAGATATATGATACATATCACACTAAGATATATCAAAAACCGTACCTATTCGACTTTTGCTTTCATAATCTTTAATTGAAGTACTTCATTCTTTTAGTGTTCCTTGAAATGAAATCTTCAATGATATGCTCATAATCAATCTTCTCCAGCAATCCACTCTCAAGTGCTATTGTAGCCAAATCATTAAGTCTTTGTTGTGTCATTGTCGAACGCAAATATGACTTCAATAGTTTCAATTTAGAAAAGCTTCGCTCTACCGATGCAACGGTCACAGGAATGGTCAACAGAACTCTATATGCAATACTTGCATTGGGAAAACAGTCATGCCGCTTTAGGAACTTTAGAATTTCAACAGGACCCATATTTTCTTTAGGAATGAAATCTTGAAGAAACTTCAACTCCACATATAATTCATTGGCATCAACATCAGATTTTCCGTCTTTTGTAAGGACAGCCCTAAGATTATCACAAGAAGATTTCAAACTCGTGTCATCCAATGACTGTAATGTTTCAGAGATAAATAAGAAACCAAAATTTTGTTGGTAACTCTGGTATTGTTCAAATCTTGTTGTAAGTGAGGAAATTGCTTGATCAACAATAAGTAAAAAATAGATGATTCTAAATAGCTCCTCTGCAGACTGTGTACCAGCATTTGTGTCATCTAAGTTCTCATCAAAATGTCTCTTTCTTTTAATTTCTCTTCTTTTACGAAACGTTGTACCAATATCCATCTCAAGTGCAATTCCTTTTGGCAATCTCTAATGCTTCTAAGAAACCAGTTTCCCTATAATCCTTGAAGAAAGAAATCAACCCTTCCGCTTTCTCAATAGCAACATCAATAAGCATATCCTTTGCTTGCAAGTGTTTGCTTACTAAATTAACGGCATATAATACCTCATACCAAATGACTATTGCCAATATAAATTCATACTCTCCAAGTTCATTGTTTGCCAAGCCCTTAGCCTCACTGCTTGTTTTTGGATCATTATCAACATCAGATACCTGAAATTGAAAGAAAGAAAATATGTGTTATAGTTGGAGATAGCCAAAATAAGTACATCATTATCAAATATCAATACAACAATATTGGGTACCTGAAGTAGAGCCTCTCGAATGTCTGTGCACTGAAATCTTATAGCTTTAACACTTTCAACACGACTCTCCCAACGTGTAGCTGATACTGACTTGAGAGTCAATCCTGATATGTTATCTTTTAGAATCTGCCATTTCTTAGTAGAATTAGCAAAAGTTGTATAGATGCGCTGGATGATTCCAAAGAAGTCCTTAGCTTTACCACAAGTCTTAGCCATATCACAAAGTGTTAAATTAAGGCTATGGCAACCACAAGCAGAATAGAAAGCACGAGGATTTACATCCAAAAGTTTCTTTTTTACCCCTTTATGTTTTCCTTTCATATTTGACCCATTGTCATAACCTTGTCCTCTCACGTCATCTATATCAAGACCAAGGAGCTTTAGTTCATTCTCCAGCACATCAAAAAGTCCTTGCCCAGTTGTATCGTTGACATCCAAAAATTCTATGCGAACATCACTTGAAGATGAGTCAACATATCTTATAATTAAAGACATTTGTTCTTGGTGGCTTGCATCAGGAGTACAATCAAGTATGACAGAGAAGTACTTTGCACTCTTTATTTTCTTAATAATTTCAGACTTAATAGCAGAAGCAAGCAAGTGTATCAACTCATTCTGAATCTTAAAATCAAGATAATGAGCTTGAGTTTCCTCACTTGTAATACGACGAACATGTTCTTGAATAATTGGGTCAAATTCAGCCAACATCTCTACCAATCCCAAGAATTCCCATTGCTATCTTCATACAGTTTGCTATTAGTCCCACGAAAAGCAAGATTATGCTTGGCAAGAAATTTAATAATGCAAACAATTCTGAACAAAACTTTTCTCTAATTGTCCTTTTCTTTCTCGAGTTGTCGTTGAGCGGCTTTATCAATAGTTTGATCCTTTTGCAATCTACTACGCAACTCATACCAAGTTGCCATACTCAAAACATGGTTTGGACTTGTTTCATGCTCTTTAAGTCTACTACCAAGATGTATCCAATCATTAAACCCCTCATTTGCCAACTGACCTTTTCGATGGCATTTTGTAAATAATTTACAACCAAAGCAAAAGACCCTATCGAGTTCCTTAGAATAGACAAGCCAATCCCTATCACAATGCTCTCCATTTGATAAAATTCTTGTATAGAATAGTGCAGAAAACCTTCTAGCATATCTATCCTTAGGACCTTTCTGAATTGATAAATCTCTTCTAGGGCTCTTCTCTGCTAAAATATCAATTTGTTTATGATTAAGGGAATCCCAATATCTAGGATCAAATATATCAGGCTGAAAGGAATCATTAACATCCGCAATTGGTGAAGTACTATTGGCCCCAATGTTATCAACATTGTTATCCATTTCAATATTTGTGTTATCAATAAGAACTTCCTCGACCCCAACAATATTTTATGTCTCCATCTGACTATCTCTAGGATCATTGTCATCATTATCGGTGGACACTTGTGACTCTTTTCTAACAAATTTATCCATAGCCCCTTTTTGAGATTGAGTTAAATCCTCTATTCTTTGTTTTTTCTTACGCTTTTGGTAACCAGATTCATACTTTCTAGACCGATTTGCAGAAGACATGACTACAATCTTGTATCGAAACACTAGATAATCCAGAACCAGAACAAATATAACTAAACACCTAGATGGATCAATATTATATTAGTCATTATCCATCAATGTTGATTAAAATATTGAAAATTAATTGCATCAGAAATCAGATTAGTATACCGATCTGCCGCGAGGCGCGAGACACAAGACGGACTGACGGATCACCGATCACGGACGAGACGGGATCTGCGAGACTGCGATGTGCGTGAAGTGCGATGGAGTCCTGCCGTCCTAGCGTCCTGCCTGGTCGGCGCGGCGCCCTGCGGTCTGCGGATGCGTCCTGGACGCCGATGCGGCGCCTGGCGGCTGGCGTGATGAACTGATGAATTGATGATGCGGCCTGCAATGCTGTACCGTCGCGGTACCTGTGCCTGCGATGCGAGACAGCGAGAGGGCCAGAGGGGCAGGGCATGCCGCATGCAGCGCAGAGGCGCAGAGCGCTTGCCGCTTGGGGGCTTGGGGGCTTGGGGCCTTGGGCCTGACCGCCTGCTGCCTGCCATGTGCCATCAATTGGGCCTACTATACACCTACAAGCTTGTATAGTACATCTATACCTATACTACACCTGACTGGTTGGTGGACCCCTCCTATTTGGGGGCCCTGTTCGACCGAACCGGCCGCACGTGCTTGTGCTCGGCCCTAGGGTGATGGATGTCAATCTTCAGGGCTCATTTTAGACTAACCGATTTAATTGAGCATATCACCGCCTTGGTGATCTTGAGCCATATTTTTGTGTGGTTCACTAGCCCCTTGTGCTCAGATATTCAATTGCAAGGCTTTCGTATTCTGAAGGCAAATGGTCCAATTGAACACTGACCGTTTTGGAGCATGTAGTCACCATGAAAGTGTCTGAAAGTGCCTCCCTGCTGTGGTCTCCAGGTTGCACAAGATGCAATGTTCTTGGGATGAGATGTGTAGTGTTTCATTATGTTCATCAGTTGACTTCTGCTCACTTGCTTGCATTATGAGATGGCTGTTGTTATGCTGTCGGGTTTTCGGATAACATTGCAAACTGCATCCAGAGTTTTGATTTCATCCACGAGCTGAAAGCAGTCCTTGCCGATTGTTTCAACTAAGTGTGCACATCTTTTCTTGAACGGTTGAGCTTCTGATGTTGCCACGCCAGTAATGTATAGCCTTGGAATTATTATTATTGTAATAATATGATGAAAATGTATGTATGTGATCTGTAGAAATTACTGGCAGCAGTACACACTACTACCATCATTTTACTGCACTTTATATTTGTTGAGCGTGGCGGAGCATGTATAGCATTGAGATATCATGGCCTCGCATCTTGTCATGTAATCAAATCACTAAGTAGCAGTCATCAACAGCCGTGAAAGCTAATTGGTACTTCCCTATTGCAAATTATTATAGGTCTCTTTGGCTTAAGTTAAAAAATTTATAATTTTCGTCAAGTTTTCTTTTAAAAAAATAACATCTACAATATCAAATAGATGCAATGTGAGAACATATTTCATAGTGTATTCAATGAAACTAATTTGATTGTAGATGATTGTACACTTTTTATAAGACTAGGTGTCGGTGTTTCGGACCGGGGGTCCTCTACCAACTAGTGAATTTGAACTGCGTGCCCCTAATCCCAGATGGTGATGCAAAGAGACACAAGGTTTATACTGGTTCAGGCAATCGATGCCCTACGTCCAGTCTGAGAGATCGATCTTGTATTCCTTGCACCGAAGTGCTAGTAGTAGGGGGTTATAAGCACAGGGAGAGAGGGAGCTAGTCCCAGGTCTCGGCGAGGTGTCGTGTGGGCTGCTTGAGACGTTGCTCTCATGCGGCTGGGATGTGTATGTCTGTGAGCTACCAGGTGTTCTTCCTATTTCTCCTTTTTCCCCCCCGAGCTATCCCTGGCTGCTTCCTTTTATAACCGCAAGGAGGGAGCCAGGAGTACATGAGTGAGCTATACGTGGAGCCTACTATAGTTTAGTCCTGTAGCAGCATGGTGTTGGGGATGGCGATTGGTACTTGACTGGCGCGCCGTGCTGGCCAGGCACGAGGTTGTTGAGGTCGTGGGAGTCCTTGTTGACGTCTAGTCAAGATGGCTTCCATCGTAGGAGACATGCCGTGCCTTGTGTGTTCTTGACTTGGTGGAGTGCCGAGGCTCATGGTGTCTTGAGGTGATCGTGTCGAGGCTTCCTTTGCCGAGGCCTCGGCGGTGACCCATGTATGATGCGGGGTCTCGGTGGTCGTCCACGCACTGGTTCGTGGAGAAGTGCGGGCGTGTGTCCACAGGCA